AGGATTAAGTTCACTTTATTTTTGAAGGCAGTTTTGTGGCATAGGTGGGAGAGCAATGAGTTCAAAACCTTACTCTTATACTTTCTAACTAAGTGACTGTAACCAAGTCATGTAGGATTCCTGTGCATCCATTCCTTCATTGTCAAGGGAGAGATAAGGAAGAGGTTACCATGAAAATTAAATCGAGGCAGGAAGGGGACTCAGAATAGTGCCTAGCACATTGTGAATGCTCAATTATAGTTAGTCGTACTGTACTGGTCTGGAAATCCTGGTGGTGTACTGGTTAAGAGCTATGGCTGTTAACCAAAAGGTTGGCAGTTCAAATCCACCACGTGCTCCTTGGAAACTCTATGGGGCAGTTCTACTCTGTCCTATAGGGTCGGCATGAGTTGGAATCAACTCGATGGCAATGGGTTTGGTTTTTTGGTTTGGGCACTGTTCATAAATTCACTGCTGATTTATTGATGTTTGAGAGATGAGATTACATAGGAAGGGTCCTACTGAAATGAATGTTTTTGCCAGGGAAAGTGGACCAGGAAGGGAAGGTAAAATACTTTCAGAATAATAGAAGCCCATCTACCTAAGGAGACTTATGCCATCGAGTTGATTCTGACTCATAGTGACCCTATAGGACAGAATAAACTGCCCCATTGGGTTTCCAAGGAGCTGCTGGTGGATTCGAATTGCTGACCTTTTGGTTAGCAGCCGAGCTCTTAACTGTTATGCCACCAGAGCTCCAAGGGGTCTTAGGTAGGGTATTATAAGTATAATAAGTATTATACTTAATATTAAAGAGATGTTATGATATATTTGTTTTTCCATCCGGGGCATTAATTGGGCACACCTCTGTCTTTTCATGACTTGTTAAGACACTAAAAATGATGTTAGATACATCTCATGTTGGTCACCATTTATCTTAGTCTGTTGGTGCTGCTGAAACAGAAATAGCATAAGTGGGAGGCTTTAATTAACAGAAATTTATTTTCTCACAGTTTAGGAGGCTAGAAGTCTGAATTCAGGGCACCAGCTCCAGGGCAAGGCTCTCTCTGTCCATTCTGGAGGAAGATGTTTGTCTCTTTCAGCTTCTGTAGCTCCAGCTTTCCTCGGTTGCCTGGCTTTCTTTACATGGCATCTATCTTCTGTGCTGTCTCTGTGTCTGTGCTTCTCCTTATAACTCAGAAGCAATGAGGTTTAGGATACACCTTAGGCTGATAATGTCCTCGTTAACATAAAAAGAACCCTCTTCCCAAAAGGAATTACATAAAAGAAGGCAAACACAAAGAGGAGAGTAAGAAACTGAGGCTCATAGGTTGACTGGAAAAATAGCCACCCTTGAAGATTCCAAACTGGAAGCTTGTGTTTCCTTTAAATCTCATTATAGGCTTGTTCGCTAAGACTAACCAACCAGTTGCCTTTGAGTTCATTCTGATTCATGGCAATCCCATGTGGTCAGAGTAGAACTGTGCTCCATAGGGTTTTCAATAGCTGATTTATTGGGAATTAGATTGCCCGGGCTTTCGGCTGAGGTGCCTCTGGCTGGACCCCAACCTCCAGCCTTTCAGTTAGCAGTCAAGAATGTTAACCACTTGCACCATCCAGAAAACCAAAACCTGTTGCCATCGAGTCAATTCCAACTCATAGTGACCCTATAAGACAGAGTAGAACTGCCCCATAGAGTTTTCAAAGCTGTAAATCTTTATGGAAGCAGACTGCCACATCTTTCTTCCTGCAGAGGGGCTGGTGGGTTCGAACCATGGACCTTTCAGTTCGCAGCCAAGCACTTAACCACTGTGTCACCAAGGCTCCTGTGCACCATCTAGGTACTCCTTTATAAGAGTGACTACTCTGAATTCCAGGATGGTGATGAGCTTAGCCAGCGGAAGGATCATCTCAAAATAAATCCTTAATGATATGACAGATGCATCTTAGAAATTTCTAAAATGATAAACAAAATGAGTACTGTACCATGCCTGGAATGTCTTTTTCCTTTGCTCTGGCCATCACAATCTCTCCTAAAGTTGCTGATTACTCTGCAGAACTTCTCAGCGGGCTTCTTTTTCCTCTACCGATCCCTCTGACATTGATTCGTACAAGGCATGTAACATAGTGGGTGTCCAAAAATACTGGCTTAACAAATTCATTGAGGAAAAATCCTCAATTTGGTAACATACTAATTTGTACTGTTTGGGGAAATCAGTAATTTCTTTAGAAAGACTCTCTGATATTGAATAAAATGGGGACTTTGAACCACAAGGAGTTACAAGAGAAAAGGCGCAGCTAACTTGACGCTCTCTCCAGGTACAACCAGAAGTAAAAAGACAGCTGAAAGCTTTGAGAGGTTTGCCTACAACACTGCTTTTTGAATTGATTTTAGAAACTCATATCCTAAGGGTATTTAGGATTAGTAGATTCTCCACACTGAGTTTTCTGTCCATTGGGAAAAACTAAATTATTTGACTGCAGGGATTTTAGGCTTCTGGTTCCAGGGAACTTAAGTCATAATACTTTAAAGTCAGAATCTAAGGGGGGAGAAAAATGGAGGGAAGCTGTCTTAATTTCCTACCTGGAAGGAAAGACAAGGTGTTTTTGGAGCTAGTATATATAAAGAATTTGATGTAGAGGAAGTATTAACAAATACTTCCTTTTTTTCTGTGGGCCAGTAAGAAAAGACTGAAATAATGATCAAAACTAAGTTCTGAATAGGGTAGGAAAAAGAGCAGTTAGTATTGACCTTCACCCATTTGATTTTAATATTATAACTGAAATGTATGACGATATAGTTTGAATGTATGTTTAAAGTTTCACTGGTTAAACCGTTTCTCCTTTTTTTTTTTTCATTGTTGTCTAAGTCACATTTAAACAAATAGTGATAAAGACACTATGGCCAGCAGCCTATGTGGAAAAATAAGAATGAAAATGTTGAACTTTCAGAACAAATTTCGAATGGTTCATTGACTTTGCTTCACCATGGAAAAATCACTTAACCTCCCAGTGTCAGTCTACCCATCTGTGAAATGAGAAGGATAATATTTTCTTATGGGGATGTTTTGAAAATTATTTTGCAAATGTAGTGGATGACATTGTTGCAAGCATCACTGCTCTTTTTCCACTTCTTTAAATCAGCAGATTGTATTATTTATGTACCAGTTGATAGTCAAAATTCCATCTGGTTTGAATTATGTATATTTATTAGCAGTTGTGTGCTTTGTATTATTTGAAGAACTTCCCCAGGTTGCTAAAATTATGTGTTAGGTCAATGCCAGGGAAACCAAGCAAAATATCCAAAAATCATTCTGAGTTTCCTGTTTATGAGCTGCTAATCTGATGCCTCTGGTAATTACTCCTTCTTTCTGTTTTAGCTCATGTTTTCTCTGATGTGGTTTTTCGCCTCACCTCACTTCACAAGATTGATAGTTCTCCATGTTTTCTCTGCTAGAGGTCACCTCTGAGCTGAAGGCAAAACACATCCCACTCTGGCTCCTGTTGACTTTCAAGTCAACTGTCAAAGAATTTACTCCAGACGTCTCCTAACCTCAATTTAAAAACCCCACCCTAAAGATTACAAGGAGATATCCTGGGGAGTAGCCATAATGACTGTAAGAGGTTGGCGTGGAGGAGAGACAAAGCTACTGATATCGAATTCTTTATTCTTGATAGGCTGAATTACATAATGTGGTCATGAACCTCTATGCTAGTATCATTTAGGTCTGGAAAGAAATTTTCCCCTTCAGGCTCTTCTGTCTCTTATGATGCCAGTCAACAGGCTTCTTGGTAATAAGATTTTGTATGCCAATAGCTCTAGCCTAACCTTAAGTGGTGCTTGTAGTAATGATAGAATCATTACAAAACTAAAGAAGAAAAGAGAAATATATTCCATGGGTGTGATTAAGTCATCATAATGTTCTTGCATATGTAAATTATCCTTGACTTAATGAACTACCTTGCTCACATAATAGTATTTTAACTTGGTTCTAGCAAGTCATTTTCTACCCATGCTGATAATTGTTGCTAGATTTGACAGAGCTCATCTCCAGATCATTTTGCAAAAATGAAATTTATGTGTTGTATCCCTGTGTGCATGAACTTTGTTTTTAACTATTAGAAGTACACTTACTAAGTGAAGTTATTACATGAATCACTTTAATAAATTAGTATGGCATTTGGAAAGATAGAAAACTTGATTAGGTACTCATGATATCTAAATTGACAAGGGTCATTTAAAAATATATATATATTTTTTTTCTGATTTCAAAAGAAATATATATACACTGAAGAAAATCAGGAAACTACAGCATGGCCAAAAAAGAATATTACCTGTATCCCCTGGTTTAGAGTAATCACTTTAAGATTTTGATGAACATCTACAAGATGAACACTTTTTTGAAGAATACACACATTGTTTTCTCCAACATGTTTTGTGTTTCTAAAAACAGCTACATCTACAGTAAACCCTGGTGAAATAGGATTCCTTTTTTTTTTTTTTTGATTTCCTTTTTCAGAAATTGAATCTAAAGTTCTAGTATCCGTATTTCACAGGCTTTATTCAGAATCATAAAAGCTACCAGGGAAGTATTTTATATGTTTCCTCCAGTGTTTCAGGATACCCTTAATGAGTTCAATTCAGCTAAAATTATTCCAGTATCTTATCTTCAAAGATGACCCAGTCCAACACTATATAATTAGTGCAAGGTCAAGGAATGTTAATGATTATCATATTACTATTTGAATATAAATCTTTATGTGTGCCTAGGAGGAAAAGAAGATTTCCTAGAACATGTAAGGGAGTATAGCGAAATCCTAATGGTATGTCAGTGTTGTCCTCTGATTAAGGATTCTCAATTATTTTTCTATGTTTTCTAATTTACAGTTCAGTTGTTATTTGGTTGGTTTAATATTTATTTTTTGTGAAGAGCTAAGCCCAATGTGGACTGGAAAAATCATGGGGAGTTAATCATTTTATAACTTTCATTTAATCAACCTTTTCCTTAATCCCCTTTTAGGAAGCCAAGGGCAGTTTCCACTAACACAGAATGTAACAGTTGTTGAAGGCGGAACTGCAATTTTAACCTGCAGGGTTGAGCAAAATGATAACACCTCCCTCCAGTGGTCAAATCCAGCTCAACAGACGCTGTACTTTGATGACAAGAAAGGTGAATATGTTTCCTTGATAATGTTTTAATCATATTCTGAAATATTCTAATTATAATGAATTTATTTTTCTGAGATGATTCAGATTATTTCTTTTGATTACCAAACTGCTTCTGCTTGTATTTAAACATGTTAAATATTAAATACTTTATTTTGTGAGTCATAAACACTAAAGATAACCTGTGTCAACTTTTTAATAAAATAAAGGGTCCTAATTCTGTTTTAAAAATAGTTATATGCCTTCTCTTAACAATCATCTTCTTTGCCGCTACCTTGTTCTTTCATGCATGTAAATGCCTTCTGTACAGATTGAGCATTCTTTTTTTCTTACTCTTAGGAATATAGTATATTATTTTTATTAACTTTAATTTAACATATTTGGAAGATACTATATGGTTTTGGAAAGTTTAATGATTTTAGTCCCATAAATTGTGTCTGAAAATAAGAATTGTAGAATGGATTCCCATAATAAAATTGTTGTTCAGTGCCATTGAGTCAATAACCGAAAATATCCAAAATAAATTGAAATTAGTAAGAGGTATATTTACTTGAAATTGAGTTGAATTTCATCCATTAATTGGGACTTATAACTGGATGATACATAGTTTGATTAGACTTTTTTTTAGAGAAGTAAGGAAGTTCGTATCATATAATTCAAGCAGAAAACTAAAAATTTACACTATATTTCTCAGTGTTTATTCATTGTTAAAGCATTGAGGGAAAGTGTGTGTCTATGAACTATCATTAAAATATTCAGCTGTTGCTTTAAATAAATATAAATGATATAGGATATAAATATTTATATATCAGCTATTCAACATGATCTTAATACCTGGATTTTCTTATGGATCTATATAGATAACAATAAGATAATTTGAAATAAATCCCATCTTTATAATTTAAATATAAGTCAAAATGCAGTCTAATAAATCTCCACCTCCCATCTAAAATATGAATTTACTATATTTTGTGCACTGCTATAGCTTTCCTTCTTTAATGTATGCTAGACTGTAAATACACTCTTTAGGTTGTTTTAGACTTTTAGCATACAGTGAAGGATTGATCAAATATCTACGCATTCATTTGGCAAATATTTGAGGGCCCTGTTGTACCAGGCATTAAAGAACACACAAAGGTCCCTAGACATAAAGTCTAGTAAGGGAGACAAATAATAAACAAGGACACAAACAAAATACATCATAGAGTACACTGGTAAAGGACAAGTCCTGTGGAGAAAAATGAATTAAAGAAGTAGGGTTAGGAATCTCTGGCATTTCTGTAGTATTATTTATGAAGAGCTTTTATTTACACTGTTATATTTTGCTGTCTGTGAGATAACTAGAGCAGATATCACCAATGGACACATTTGCATAAAAACGTATGCAAGGCAGCTGATAAAGGTCTCATGATTAAGGTGGAGGCCAGACATAAAGCCAATATTGTGAATCGATATTTATGTTTTGATTAGGGTCTTTGGTGTATAATCATTTGTGTTTAACAAGGACTTCTGGCTATAGAATTTTACTGTTTGGTTGGTTGCTTTTGTACTTTAAATATGTTTTAAAGAGCTTGAAAAAGGATTTTAAAAGGTTCTTCTGCTAAACACTTACTGTAGTAGTGTTAATATAATTTGGATCTTATGACCTCGTTTAGTTAATGTTATTGGTTATTTAATGTTTCTGATTCAGGGCTTTTTTACACCATTGTAGAAATTTCAGACATGAAATTCAAATTCAATTTCAAATATGAAACTGCAGAGTGACTCTTTGCAGTGAGAAATGACTAAGAAATATCTAATGTAAATTCTTAAACCCTTTAAATAAGGAATATTACTCAAGAGTAAAAAGCAAATCTTATGAATCAATTAACTACTTTAAAATATCATAAATGTAATTCAGACTAGTTTGTATTTCAGATTTATTCAATGAGAACGAAAGCTTGAAAACTTCTTCCTTTTTTCTAACAATACTTATTACTACTATTAAACATGTCTTAGTTTTAATCATTTTAACATTATTTAGGCTTTATATTTAATCTTAAATCTACTGGTACTTTTGGGATAAAGAAGGCACATCTCTGGGGGAAAAAATATGCCAGTGTTTGCTTTTCTTAAAATCCCTAAGTATGTGAAGTTTTTTCTTTTAAAATCAGGTAATCATGTTGCTTTCCAAGAAATAAAGTTCTGTCTAAAGAATGAAGTTCTGTTAGTAAAAAAAAAAAAAAAAAAATTGAATGCATAAGCAAAATGTCGCTCAGAAATTTAAAAATCTTTTGTGCTTTTATGATTAATGTGTTACAAATATATGTAAATCAATATTTAAAACATGTATGTCCAAATACAAAGTGATCCATTTTTAAGGAAATTTATCATTTTCCCAATGATAAAATGAAAAAAAAAAAGTGTTTTGGATGGCAATAGACTTTTAAGGCTGTTCATGAAACAATCAAATATATAATTACAATGTTTAATTCATAAATTTGATTATACATACATATTTAAAATAATATAAAGTATATAAATTAAGAGATATTTTTTCCTTCCCTGCTTTTAATGAAACAATCTAGTTTAACAGCACTTTTTGAAAGTGTATGATACTATCAATGAGAAACCTATCCTAAGCCATAACTACGTATTATTATAACATTAGAACATTATTTTTGTTCATTCATCCTGTAGGTGTATAATAATGATCTTCAATATGTAACCATTTATTTTACTGCTTTTTGTGTGCGAAATCTCTGGAAGTCATGTTTACAGTGACATCTACAATTGTGAGGTCTAATCCTCAGGCACAATAGCAAAATCTATATTAAATTCCTCTCTTAGTAACTATGTAAGTTATCTTCTTTGAAACATCTAAAACTGGAATTGACTTGAGGTATTTTAAGCTAATGCATCTTCCTTGTAGAAAATAAAGAGCTTCCTGTAATAAGAAATTCACAAGAACTTGAAAATGAGGCAACCCCCTCTTCACTGAGGACTAACTATGGGGAGAAAAAGCATCATGTTAAATTTAGGATATATACACTACTGCAAAATACCAAATACATCTGATCATATTGTTGAATTGTCGAAATATGCACTTCCTTTATTTAATTTTCCTTTCCCAATTTCTATTACAGCTTAGAGTTATGTTGAAAAAAGCCTGTCTTTTTTTATGTGGATAGTATGGCAAGCTCCTGTTTTGGATAATCAATTTGTCTAACTCTGTTTTGGTTCTAATTGTCAGTAGCAGCAAAGTAATGGGAAGTATCGAATAAACAAATCTTTTCATGAATGGCAAGGTCCCTGGGTGGCGTAAACAGTTTGCATGTGACTACTAACAGAATGACTACTGGTTCAAGTCCACCCAATGACACTGAGAAAGAAAGTCCTGATGATCTGCCTCCATAGATATTACAGCCAAGAAAACCACATCGAGCTCAGATCTACTCTGTAACACAAAGTGTAGCCATGAGTTGGAATCAATTTGATGGAAATGGGTTTCATAAATGGCAATCTGTCTATTTCCACATAAGTATAAGATTCAGTATCTGTGTGATGTCTAGTGCAAGGGATCAGTAGGCAGTATTCATCAAATGCAAGTGTTCAGAAATGAAAGCAGTTTTTCAAGATTCCATATCACAGATTTCTCCATAACTTCTTTTTTGCTTGCTTTTGCCTACCTAGCACTCCCCAATCCTTAGGCTTATCTTGAGCAAACAACATGTCAAGTCGTGCCAGAGCCTAAGTGCAGAAGATAAGCATGAGTTAGAGTGGCTAGAGTAACCCGTACCTATTGTGCAAGTAGCGAGTCTTCAGAAGAGCAGAAGAGAAAATGAATGCCTTCTCTGTGTCACTGATCACACCAGTTCCTAAAGGTGTCTGCTAATGCTGAAGGTTTTACCCGGCTCTTCTCATTTCTGTCTCAGATTATGTCGCCAATACTTCTGAGACCTTGCTACAGAGTAAAATCATCTGAGGAACTTTACAAACAGAATTTTTCATAGGTATGGTTATCAGAATGTTTTAACTGCATCTAGAATAATTTTAAAATGCAGCTGAAGTTGAGAATCTGAAGTCAGTTCTCGCATGAGTTCTGTATCCCTAAACTTGAATTTCTGTACTGATATAGGTTATTAAGGAAAGAGGGAAAGAGAAAAAGAAAGGAGGAAGGGAAGAAGGGAGGAAGGAAAGCTTCTTAGACAAATAGAACAAGTGCTGCTCCCTGACATTGTTGTCGAAACTATGAGCTCCTAGAGGCATTTTGGATAGCCTTGTATGTTACCTAGAGACACAGGTCTCTGAGGGTTCTTGGCCGTGAGGGTGAACAAAGAACTCAGGATGACAGCTCATCAGTCTTATTAGAATTGGAAAGGCCTCATTTGTTTATTTGGAATAATTAGCTGAAGGAAAGAGTGAGGCCAAGTGAGTCGTTGATGATCAGCTGAAGGAAAATTAAGCTGAACCCCCTTTCCTAAGGGTTTGTTGGGGAGGTTAAATGAAATCACTTCAAAAGAGACATAGGTGTCCCATGGGTAAATCTGACCAAAGTGAAAGTGTTGTTGTTAAGTGCCATTGAGTCAGTTCCAACCCACAGCAATCCTATGTTCAACAAAACGAAACACTGCCTGGTCCTGAGCCATCCTCACAATCCTTGCTATATTTGAGCCCATTGCTGTAGTCACTGTGCCAGTCCATCTCGTTGAGGGTCTTCCTCTTTTTAGACGACCTTCTTCTTTACTAATTATGAAGCCGTTCTCCAGGGGTTGATCTCTCCTAATAACATTTCCAAAATAATTGAGAGCATTTTGGCTGTACTTCTTCCAAGACAGATTTGTTATTCTTCTGGCAGTCCATGATATATTCAGTATTCTTAGCCAACACCAAAATTCAAATGCATCAGTTCTTCTCTGGTCTTCCTTATTCATTGCCCAGCTTTTGCATGCATATGAAGTGGTTGAAAACACCATGACTTGAGTCAGGCACATGTTAGTCCTCAAAGTGACATCTTTGCTTTTT